TTTCAACTGTAATAATATTGAAACAACTGAGTATTGTTGCTTCAAACTAATTAACATTTCAAATAATAATAAAACAACGAAACCTCAATGGTTCAGACTAGGCTGGCAAACTTTTTATTTTAATTTGTTCATATTGGGGGTGTACTGATAATATTAAAATGAATAATTAATTTAAAATCAGTATTGTAAACTGCTGTAATATGATGTGCAATGCTAGATATATTCCCAAATTTTGATAAGAAGTGTCTTTTTAAACTTGAACTAGTATAAAAGCTCGTCAGAAATAACGGAAAACCATTGTTGAATGATTAACGAAAAGTATAGAATTTAACTAAAACGAATTTGTCTGTACCTCCAAAATGCACCTACTCTTCACTTATTTCATCAGTCTCGAAGTAATTCTTTAATCACCACATTTTTAGTAAAAACTGCGCAGAAAAATGAAATGTTATCGTGAACAAAAGTACTGTTACGACAGCGGAAGTCACGCGAAGCTGGGAGCATGTGCGCTGGAGTTTCTAGAAGGATCGTGACTTATCGGGCAACCTCATGAATGTCCCATCGTTTGCTAGACGCCCTCTTTTATAGTATATATAACCGGAGATAGATTGAAGAGAAATAATTGAGTCAAGCAAACAGTAGGCACCGTAAATACAGTGTGTGAATCGTAAATAGTTAAGTTAAAGTGACTGTGGAAATTCTGTGTATTGTAAAGCTGTATCGAGAAAGAATAAACTAGTTTTAATCTAGAAAGGACTTATATCGCTGAAGTTTCTCGGAAAGAATTTATACGGGAAATTAACAAACAAGCAGATTCGTAACAAATTGGTGTCAGAGAGTGGGACAGAAAAGAGATAAAAAAGATGGAAACAAGAAGTGGCAAATCAAACAACAGCTTAGCTAATTTGATGGCAGCAACACAAGAACAGCAAAAGAAACAAGAAGAACGAAAAAAGAAACAATAAGAGAGACAGTAGCAGTGGCAAGAAAGCCTGCAACAGTGGCAGCTCGAACAACAAAATAAACAAGAGAGACTACAGCAGTTGTTGGAGGAAAACAAAAGAAACAAGAAGAACGAGAAAAGAAACAAGAAGAGAGACTACAGCAGTGGTTGGAGGAGAAAGAAAAGAAACAAGAAGAGAGACTACAGCAGTGGTTGGAGAAGAAAGAAAATAAACAAGAAGAGAGACTACAACAGTGGTTGGAGGAGAAAGAAAATAAACAAGAAGAGAGACTACAGAAGTGGATGGAGGAGAAAGAAAATAAACAAGAACGAGAAAAGAAACAAGATAAAAGTCTCCAACAATTGAAAGAAAGCCAGCATACACAAATGGAAAAGATTAGTGAATTTCAAAGTGAATTAAATACATTAAAGGACGATTTACTGTCCTTTACACAAGGAGGATATATTAGCCATCGAACTAATCAGCCTCAGATATTGAGAAGCCCTTCCAGACCCCGCAGCTAAACCCTAATGCAGACATCTTCAGTCCTGTTAGAAGTCACATCCCAGATATGAGGGTCAGCAATAGGGGTGATCTAGTATGAAGGAAGCCACAGGAATTCGACGGGAAGGCACTGTGGGAAGCATATAGAGCACAATTTGAACTACTGGCAGAAATGAATGTATGGATAGAGGAGCTCGTTGCAGTGTACCTCGCAACGAGCCTGAAGGGACAACCATTGGAAATACTTGGACAGTTGTCA